TCGACCACCTATTGTAATTTTTTGCAGGGTTTTTATGATGAATGGGTGTTTAATTTTCTCAAATGCTTTTTCTGCATCTATCAATAGGATCATATGGTTTTTGCCCTTGACTTTGTTAATATAGTGTATTACATTTATTGACTTACATATGCTGAACCATCTTTGCATCCCTGGAATAAATCTGACTTGGTCAGGTTGTATGATCTTCTTGATCATCCTCTGTATTCTGTTTGCTAGCATCTTATTAAGGATTTTTGCATCTATATTCATTAAGGAGTTTGACTGACCTGTCATTTTCTTTTTTAGTTTCATCTTTCCCTGGTTTGGGAATTAAAGTGATACTTGCTTTCAGGAATGAATTTTGAAGTTTTGCTGCCATTTCAATTTTATTGAAAAGTTTGAAGAGTAATGGTAGTGGTTCTTCTCTAAATGTCTTATAAAATTCAGCAGTGAATCCATCAGAACCTGGGCTTTTCTTTGTTGGTAAGGTTTTAATTACATTTTCAATTTCACTGATTGTAATTGGGGTGTTTAAAATGTTTTTATCTTCTTTGTTCAACTTTGGTAATTAATAAGTATCTAGAAATCTGTCCATTTCTTCAGTGTTTTCCCTTTTATTATAGTACAGGTTCTCAAAGTAGGCATTAATGATCCTCTGGATTTCTGTTGCATCTGTTGTGACTTCACCTTTTTCATTCCTGATTTCATGGAGAAGGTTTGCTAAGGGTTTATCAATTTTATTTATTCTTTCAAAAAAAAACCAACTCTTCAATTCATTTATTTTTTTGTATCATTTTCTTAGTTTCCATTGCATTGATTTCTGCTCTAATCTTTATAATTTCCTCTCTTGTTCAGACTTTGGGTTTTTCTTGCTCTTGTTTTTCTAGGAGTCTAAGATTCGCTGTTAGGTTGTTTATTTGAGCTCACTCTGTTTTCCTAGTGTAGGCATTCAGTGCTATGAATTTTCCACATAGAACTGCTTTCATTGTGTCCCATAGATTCCTGTATGTTGTATTGGTATTTTCATTTATTTGTAAAAACTGTCTGATTTCTTCTTTAGTTTCCTCTGTGATCCATTGATTGTTCAGGAGAGTGTTGTTCAATTTCCATGTGTTTGTGAAGTTCCTATGGTTTCTTATGCTATTGATCTCCAGCTTTATTGCACTGTGATCTGATAATATACAGGGAATAACTTCAGTTCTTTTGCATTTATTCAAACCTGTTCATGGACCCATGTGTGGCTAAAAAGAACGTATATTCTTATTTTGTGGGTTGGAACACTCTATAGATGTCTAATAAGTCCATGCATTCAAAAGCTTGGTTCAGTTCTAATACTTCATTGTTGATTTTTTTGCCTAGATGATCTGTCTATTTGTGATAGTGGGGTATTTAGATCCCCTGTATTAGTGCTTATTTGGTTTTTCCTGTTACTTAATATTTGTTTTATATAGTCGGGGGCATTTATATTTGGTGCATATATGTTTAAGATTGTCATCTCTTCCTCTTGAATTGTTTCCATAAGAAAATTTGATGAGACCATATAATTAGAATAAAATCAACAATTCTGAACACAGCCTTTTTAAATTTTTAATTTGGGCAACAAGTGATTACAACTATGCCTAGCATTTCCTATGTCTCTTCTCTATGCACAAGTAAATATAATGCATAGCATTTACTTTGACAGGTAAATATAATACACAGCATATCTTCCTAATGACCCCAGCTTCCTGTGAGAGACTCTGCTCAAAGCTTAGGAATATTTGGAGGATGAGGCAGAGCACCAATCCAATCAGCTTTCTTTTGTCACTCAACAGTTCCCCTCCATATTAAACCCTCACATCAAGAGACCATCCGTAACTTTGACATTAGGCATACCTACGAGACAGTGCCTCTTATTTCTTAAACCATCTGTGCTCTTCTGCCAGGGATTCATAAATATGTCCACTACCTGATACTTTTGTAATCACTCTCCAGAGATGGATTTGAAAAAACCCACCCAGTGTTGAGAAAGGACAACATTCTTATTCAGGTAAATAAAAATATAAGGAAACTATGATGACTAAATACAATAAATGGATGCTAAGTCAAAATAATGAAGGAAGACTTCCCATGAGGAGCCATAGGATGATAAAATAAGAACTCTTGAGACAATCTGTTTCCACTTTCTTACTTTAATGACAAGAAAAATAAGCTCCAAAGACACTTTACAAGGTCACTAGGATATGCAAGCTGAAGTCAGTACTCAACCCTCGTGGTCCTTCTGCTTCTCTGGGAAAACAGCCTCTGTAAAGCACCTCACATAAAGGTGGTATTAAGTGTGTTGCATGCCAGGAGTCTGGAAGCCTACAGTTTTTAAAAACAGAAGTGAACAAAACCAAAAGATGTGCAAGCCCCAAAGGATTACTGTTAACTAACTAACTGCCACAGGTTCTCTTCCACTTTTGTTCTGAGAGGTTTATGATGATTTGTACAGACTCACATGAGAGGCAACCTCAGAACGTGAAAGTCTGAAGAGCTAGGGACAAGTGGAAGAGGAAAAAAAAAAGTAGATGGCCAAAACTGCAGAATCCTATGTGACAGTATTTTGCAGAGCCTGTGGTGCCAAGGCTCACAGAGCATAGCTTGCAGAGGTCAGGCACAGCTCAGCTGGCTGGGCTGTCTCCCTACCCTCAGCTCTGCAGGTGGGGAAGGCAGGACACAGGGAAGCAGTGAGGTGGGGAGACAACAGCACTCTACCTGTGAGGCCATAAAAACCTCCAAAGGCTTCCAAGCAACCAAGATGAGCTTTCTGAGACTGAGTGGATTATAAATATTGACTAATTCCAAAGGGTGGGGGGTAAAAAATCTGTTCTTAGAACACACGGATTCTTTTGAGAGAATCACTAAGGCTAGTGACAAAAATCTGTGTTTATGAACTAAAAACTTTCCGTTTTCTGTGGCTGCGTTCCGGGGACCCCGTGGTTAAACCTGCACTGCACACATTTGCCTCACATCCTATCAGGCTGACTCCTTGAAAATGTGGAATGCGTTTATACATGTTTCTGCAGTGAAACATTCCTGTCTGTTTTTATCTCTCAGCAATATCTATGGCAATATCCTGACAGAGAAAACCCTTTCAGTCTTTTAGTATGCATGATGAGGACTTAAGTCTATATATAAAAGCAGAGATAGATGTATATGTGAGAATTCTGCATACAGTAAAATACAAATATAAGGGCTTTGGGTGCAACTCAGTGGTACAACACATTGTATACTTAAGGCTTTAATCTCCAGCCATAGATAGCCAGATAGATAGATAGACATATAGATAGATAGATAGATAGATAGATAGGTAGGCAGAGACTGAGTAGGTGTCATCTGATCTTTGTATAATCTGGATGATAAAAATATTTGATTAAGGTACATTTTCTCCAAATCTATAATTTTCCCAAACTGGTCTTGAACTTGTGATCTTCCAGCCTCACCCTCCAAGAGTACTGGGAATACAGGCAAGCATGGCCTTTTAACTTTACATTTAACTATATATTTAACTTTACTCTGATTCACAGCATTATCACTTGTCATTAACAAACCCAAACATAACGTTCCATTCACATTCTGAGCTTGACTATGAGAACCTCTCTGAACAAGTGAAGCTCCGAAAACGTGTTAAAGGATAGACATTCTGAAGAACCAGTGTGAAGCCAAACATCCAGAAGGAAGTGAAAATGAATTCCCAAGCCAGCATATCAGAATTTTGAGGGGCAGCGGTGGTGTTGCAGTTGCATTTGTGTCACAGTTTCTAGTATAAAGTTTGATTCTGGATAATCATTTCATGAATGAGAGTAGTATACTTGGGGAGAGGGGATAGTAGACATTTGGTAAACTTGGAAAAGAAGACCACAAAGCACAAAGACATAGGAGAAGTATGTGTATTATCTACTTTCTTGATGTGTGGAGTTTAAATTAAAACCTAAGTGATCGAGGACATGGTATTGAGGAAACTGCATTTTGTTGTATTTTCTGGTATAATTTAGATATGTTTTTCCTTCTTTCTCTTAGATTGTTACATTTCTGTTTCAAGAGTAGCAAATCATGCATACATGATTATTGATCAGTTTTCCATAAATAATGGATGATAAATGTAGCTAATTTCAATGCATTCATCGACAAAGATTTTGAAAGAAGTAGAACGTAGTAGGAATGCCTTTCAGGTGGCCATTCTGGTGAGAGTAGGAAGGCAGATTCCTGCTGTACTACAGTTTTTTTTTTTAAATAACAATAAGGACAATTTACTTGTTTAAACCCCTACTCATTCATGCCTTAAGTCTAAGAATTTAAGGGGAGGAGGGGAGGATAAGGGAGGTATGAGAAGAGCACCACCTGAGACAACATGAACTAAGTCTTTATTAACCAGAGATTGACATTAGCAGGCACCTCACTTCCTCTTCCATACCAGATCACAAAGGTTGTACTGTGTACATACCCATGTCTATAGGGTAATAAGATTGGTTTTTATGTGGTTTATGGAAAGTAGTTCTCATTACTTTATAGCCATTTCCTAGCCTTTTCCTTCTTCTCAGCAATAAATTCTCTTTGTTTTAATGTTTTATATTCCCAACTTAATTTCTAATCTCTCTTAGGTCAATAATGCCTCAATGTCCAATAAAGTCAATCTAAGGTATTACTCTTTGCACCTTTCATCCATCTGAAATGGCCACTCTGAGAGTTAGAGAATGAAAAGACTCTATAGAGAGATTTGTATGCATCTTTTTTTCTTTTACAATTTTTACTACATGGACAGGAAAGCTAAATCATAAAGAAATAAAAATGATTATTCTAGATCACTAACTAGTTTAATAGCTTTAAAGAAAAAAAAACCAACCTAGATTTGAATGTCTTAAGAAATAAAGGATGATAGAGAAAGAAATTGTGCAGTTCTTTAGCCATAAGGAATAGAATAATCTACAACCATCAGATTTAGGAATAAGAAGATTTGTTTATGGGAAAAAGTGCAAGTATGTTATCAGTTAGAACTGTGACTTTTTTTTTTCCTGTTGGAAAGGGAGATTACTTTTGGACTGTAACATTTAGTTTTATGGTTTGTCTCCCATTAGGTTTGGAGTTTTAAATAATATCAGAAGAAATGCTTTGCGATTTCCCACAATCCACAGGAGACTTGTGTTTCTGGAGTCTTGCTCATATCCCAGAATTCTGTTACGTTATTCTTCAATCATCTCTGGGGAGTGGATGATGCCTCTCCACCTCCTGCAGGGCTGATAGTCACATGGTAACGAAACCTACTGAGGAATGCAGAAAAAATCATGAAAACAGAAGAAGAAAGTTAAATGATACTCCAACTGCTAAATCTTGGTGACGTCAGCTCAGTCAGGCACATGTGCATATATGTTTTCCCCAGGAAACCCTACCTAAAGTTCCTACCCTCTCGCTCCATAATATTCTCTTTTTTTGTATCCTTTCAAACAAAACAATACTACTAAGGCACATTGTATGTACATAAATTATTCCATAAGCACCATATGATATTTACAGAAAAATTTTTAGACAATGAACATTTGTTTGGATATTAAGAAGAAATGACCATTGTGAAATTTCTCAGCAAAATAGGCTTTCGGGGAGTGACTTGGAATGTCAGGAGGGATTATTTTTCTTTCTTTTTCTTTTTACTGTTGCAGCTGCTTAAATACTGGCTAGAAATTAAAACATTGGAACAATTTCTTTGCTTTATGGTCATGATGCAACCCAGTGGTTTCAAACTTTATACCAAGGACAAACCAATCCTGAAAATAGGTCTGTTTTCCACTTGTTCTTTAGAAAAGAAAATGTTTAGCTTTCCCCAGTCTGTCAATCTTGTGGAACAAAAATGCCACCAATGTACCTTTTATAAGGATCTGGGGGCAGAAACAGCTGTACAAATCATAAAATAAGTTTTTCTCTTTTAATCCAACTGGCATTTAAGTCAACAGTCATTTTCAGAGACAAATTATAAAGCAGACTCACATTGAAACTCAACCTGGAAGAGAGAGGTATACACCACTGCAGCCTGTTTAGAACTGGGTATTCTGAGTGCTGATGCTGGGAAAATGAGTGGAAATCACTTGTGATTTTGTAAGCAAATCACTCCCAGAGCTCTCTATTTGCCTGTAGAGAGGAAAGCAAATCAGTGCAGGAAACTAGAGTTTCTCGAAAACACATAAAAAGTCCTTGGGAGATGATATGGTGAATGTTATTCTTTCATAAGTAAATATTCTTTCCTTGTCAGTTTTAAATGGGGAAAAAAACTTAAGTTCCCAAATCGGATGGTAAATAAAGGTCTCATGGTGCTCAGCAGTAACAAGTCAATCGCTGAAACCAATTTCAACCCCAGAGTGACAGAGAACAGTAAATCATTTCCTTCCCCCTTGCACCTTCCGCTCCTTGCCAAAAAGTTTTTCTTAGACCTCACCCATTAAAATGTAATTTTATCTTTTCCACATCTGCCTTTGTTGTTGCTAAGTGTCTGGCTTCCTTCTCACACCAGTCAGAAGAAACTCACTATCTCTAAACTTTATATTGTAAAAATTTTATTTTTAAAATGTGCTTCAATATGGTAAAATACCTAATGTGCAATTTTCCCTCCTACTGCATTTCATTTTATTTTTAAATAATATTTTATTTTTAATTCACACATAGTCTTATAGTCTTCATGCACATTTATGGGGTCTGGTGTGTCATTTCAATACATGCGCACATGTAACGATCTGATCAGAATATCTAGTCAGATATTTACAATTTCTTTGTCTCAAGAGCATTCAATCCTCTCAAATAACTATTTTGAAATATTCGATTAACTGTTGTTAATCATAGCTTTCTAGCCATGCTATAAAACATTAGAATTTATTCCTCCTATCCAACTACAACCCAGTCACTATTAATCCTTCTCCCAACCTTCCCTTCTCTACATCTCTCCCAGGCTCTGGTAACTACTATTCTATTTTCTACTTCTTTGAGACAAGCATTGCAGCTCCCACATATAAGTGAGAATATATGGTGTTTGTCTTTCTGTGCCTGATTTTTTTCACTTAGCAGAATAACCTCCAATTCCATCCGTAACCCTGAAAATGAGAAAAAAATTTATTGATTTTTCTGGCTGAACAATATTCAATTGTGTATTTATGTCACATTTTCTTTCTTCCCTCATCTATTGATAGACATAGAGTCTGATTCCAAATCTTGGCTACTGCGAATAATGGTGACAACTGTACATGCCTTTGTCAATAGTTATTTCAATTCCTTTGTATACACATCCACTGGTGTGATCACTGCGCCGTATGGTAATTCTATTTTCAGTTTATGGAGGAACCTTACACTCTTTTGTACATGATTAAACTAATTTACATTCGCACTGATAGTGTATCATAATTCCTCTCTCTCTCTCTGCATTCTCTCCAGTATTTAATTTTTGTATTTCTGATATTAGTCTTTCTAAGTGGGATAGAACAGTGTCTCATTGTGCTTTTGATTTACATTTTCCTAATGATCTGTACTGTTGAAAAGCATTTCACGCATTCGACATTTATGTATCCACTGTTGAGAAATTTGTACTCAAGTCATTTACTCTTTTTTTTTTTCGTACTGGGGATGGGACTCAGGACCTTGCACTTGCAGGGCAAGTGGTGGCACCACTGAGCTCATCCCCGGCTCTCATTTGCTCATTTTTAATTGAATTTTTTTTTTTTTTTTTTTTTTTTTTTTTTTTTTTTTTTTTTTTTTGTTTTTTTTTTTTTTTTTTT